ATTACTCTGGACAAATCCAAGAGAGGTAATCACTGTGGAGAATTTCTCAAACCAAGCACGAGGGGCTTGCTTGAGCTCATACAAAGCTTTGCGAAGCCGACAAACCTCACCCGGTCGGTGCTGAATTCCTGGAGGAGGGGTCATATAAACCTCTTCATGAAGGTCACCATTTAAAAAGGCATTATTGACATCCATTTGAAAGATCTTCCACTGTCGGATGGATGCAACTGCAATCATAGTACGAACTGTCTTCATCTTTGCAACATGGGCAAATGTTTCCTCGTAGTCAAATCCATACTGTTGGGAATACCATTTTGCTACAAGTCTAGCCTTGTATCGTTCAACAGAACCATCAGCTTTTGTTTTTATCTTGTACACCCAAAGACAACCTATCGTATGTTTCCCAGGACGAAGAGAAACCAAATCCCATGTATGAGTCTGATGGAGAGCAGTGAGTTCTTCAGCCATAGCATTCTGCCAAAGAGGATCTGTAACAGCTTCTCTATATGATTTAGGTTCAGACAGATGATGGATACTTGCTATAAAAGAAGCAAACGGTCCTGAATATGTAGACTAAGAAAAATCTGGTAGCTTGGTGGACTTGACAGGACGAGAAGATCTCCTGAGGGGTGGTGGTGGAGGTGGATCCTCAACTTCAATAATCGGAGGATCAAGCTCAGGAACAGGTGGAGTCGAGGCACCCTCTGAAGAAGTGGGTGTGTCATGAGCTGAGGGATCATGTGGCATAGATGAATCTCGAGCCTCTATATCTTCATTAAACGGATCAATACGCAGAAGATCGGACTTCGTTACATTGTGGGCTGTAGCAGGAATCGAGTAGAAAGTAATATGTTCCAAAAAAGTAACGTGCCGGGAAACATATAACTTCTGACTCACAGGATCATAGCAACGGTATCCTTTCTGACCAATAACATACCCCAAAAATACACAAATAGCAGATTTCGGCCGCAACTTGTTCCTTTCAACATGAGGACGAAGAACAAAACAAGTACATACAAAAACTCGTAAGGAAGAGTAGTCTGGTAGATGACCATATAACTTCTCAAAAGGAGATATTCCTAAATTCAATAAAGTAGGGATACGATTGATCACATACACAGCAGTTAGGACTGCTTCTCCCCAAAAGGCACTAGGGACCTGCGCAGACAGGAGCAATGAGCGAGCAGTCTCAACAATATGACGATGTTTTCGTGCTGCCACACCGTTTTGCTGAGGTGTGTCAGTACACGAAGACTGGTGTATGGTACCATCAGAAGCAAGTAACTGAGTGAAATCATTAGATGTATATTCACCCCCTAAGTCACACCTGAAGCACTTAATCACAGCCAAATGTTGAGTTTTAACAAGAGCTCTAAAATTGCTGTAATATCAAAGAAATCAGATTTGCGTTTCATAAGATAAACCCATGTATATCGAGTATAATCATCTATAAAAGATACATAATATGTTGACCCATCCTTTGTGGATACTGGTGCAGGAACCCATACACCAGAATGAATAATGTCAAAAGGAGCAGTAGAACAAGACATACTTTTATTGAAGGGTAAAACAGAGAATTTTTGCCAGTTTGCACCCACTACAATCAGAAATATCACAAGAGTTTAAATGACCCAAAACACCACTAGATGCTAAAAAATTCAAACGTGATAAAGACACATGTCCCAAACGAGAATGCCAAAGATAAAACTCAGACGACAAAGGACTCAAACGAAAAGAAGATAAATCAATGATGGAAGCAGCAACAGCAGATACTTTGAGGACCTCCAAGGCATATAGTTTCCCCACCCTACGGCCGATCCCAATCACCTTCTGGGTGTGTTGATCCTGTATAACACAGACAGAATCAGAAAAGAACACCCAGTTACCAGACTTACATAACTGACTGACTGAGGCAAGATTCAAAGTACGTTTGGGAATGTAATAAACATCAGGAAGAGTGATATGAGAAACACAGACAGAACCAACACCCTCAACTAGCATAGATGTGTCACTAGCAGACTTAACAGAAATAGATGACACTTGCGACAAAGAAGTAAATGATGACAAATGAGGAGTCATATGATGGGTTGCACCAGAATCTAAAATCCACAAAAATGAGGGAATACCTGATGTACCAGATGAAGAAGGACCAGAATGAGACATAGATGCAGACATGGCAGTGGGATTAGAAGCCAAATACTGTCTGAAGCTCTCAAACACCTTGGGATCCAATGTAGATGGTAGCATGTGTCCAACGGATTCTGTGTCAACTGGTGGTACAGTAGCAGCAGCAAATTGTGGAGGACGAGGGGTCCATGGAGGAGTACCAGAGGAACGCGGCTGAAACTTCTGTTGACCAGACCTATTTTGTTGCCCTGACTGAGGTTGACCAGATTTACCCTTGTTGACCAACAATGAACACTGAGCTTTCCAATGATTTTTCTGTTTGCAGAATGCGCACTCATCATAAGTAACCCTTGACGTTTGTCGAGACGGGTTGGAGGAAACAACAAGCATAGCAGGAGCGTGAGTAGGAATAGAGGTTGCTTTAAACCCTTTATCCGCATGAGCCTTGATACGAGTCTCTTCTGCAATTAACTCATGGACAACAGAATCCACTAAGGGAAGAGGAGATCGATGAAGAATGGTTCCACGTAGGCCTTCAAAATCTGAACGCAAGGCCATCAAGAACTGGACAAAGCGTTGTTCTTCCCCTAGCAATGTAAGGCTCAAAATCTTTTAACTCTTTAGATTCAGTAAGAGCCAATTGGTCCCACAGATCAAACATAGCGACATAGAAATCTTGAATACTCTGGTTATTCTGTTAAAGAGCACGAATATCATATTCTAACTGATATTGTTTAGCAAAACTGGACTGAGTATACAGTCTCTCCAAGTGATTCCAAACTTCTTTTGTTGTGTCATATTTGGCCAACTGCATACCAATAGACTGAGTAACATAGTTATTAATCCAAGTAATGACCTTGGAATTATCAGTCTCCCAAGCATCAAGCAACAGATCAAAATTCTCAGTTTGAGGCACTGAGGGTTTGGCTTTAGTCCCAGTGACATATCCCCACATATTCTTCCCACGAAGGAAGTTCTTCATAACGTAACTCCAATACGTATAATTCTTTCCATCCAAACGAGTACTGATTGACTGAAGGGAATCATCCTTTGCAGTCATGTTGATAGTGAATAAATAACCACAATGACAGTATAACAATCTGAGAATGAAAGGAGTAACAAACCAGCGGAAGCAATCAATTGAATAACGAACCAACAGCAACAATTACGAATCAATAGCAACAACGAACCAACAGCAGCAATAACGAATCAACAGTAACAACGAATCAAAACATCAACAACGAATACCAACGACAACAAACGAGTACGGCATGCAACAGTAACCCTAGATGACTGCTACAAAGACTTCTAACAACGTATCGAACCTCCGCTCTGATAACATGATAACATTGTCATATGATTTTGATAAAGAGAAATTACAAGGGTTCTCAAAGAAAAGCGTAAAGACTACAAAGAATAAAGCATATATAAATACTAGCTAGACAGAAACCCTAATGGGCTAAAGACAAAGGGGCCCATAAACACGCAGACTAATAATATATAGACTAACATTATAGTCATCATGTTTACTCACATTTTCTTTTATTCAAAGAGCTTTATCTTATTTATTTGACTAAAAAATAAATATGTTTGTAATAAGTTTATAAAAATCATCATATGTACGAATTAATGAGGACGATGGCGATGAGGTTCAACCACATGCTAGTATTATAAAACTAGATCAAAATGTTGAGAAGTTAATGTAAATATTATAAAACAAGATCAAAATGGGATGAGGTTCAACCATATGAGTGTTTCCAAACAACTTTGTTATGACAATTGTATAAATCAGATATAAATATTATAAAACTGTGGTCTTTATCTTAAGTTAAAAAAAAATTAAAAAAAAATTAAAAAAACATTTCATACTTTAAGAAATAAACAATTTTTTTTAAAGGCCGAATAAGTTAACATATTTTTTTTCAACTGTGTTTGTAGATTGTAAATGTTTTAGTTTTTCAAAACGGAAACAACGTCGTCTTAGTGTGGTATTGTACATCCTTTAATTATATATTTTTGGTTCTGTTTACATTATGATAGATGCATAAAAAAGTCACCTACCGTTCTAAAATTTAATAGATGTAAATGCAATTTCGTTTACAAAAGTATGACAAAAGATATATTGGGATAAAATGAATGAAAGTAAGGCTTCATATATGATTTCTCGATCCAATAAATATTCTAATAATTAATCGATGACTAACACAAACTGGAAGAACCGAAGGACTGAAAATTGAACTATAAATTACACTTCAAACTTTTAGGAAACTGAAACATAGTAACTGAGAGTCTGAGATAAAACATCCGAGAAACTCAACACACCCATAAAAAGTAAATATCTTCAAAGTAACAACCTTTGTAAATCTTTTTTCTCTGCACCAAAGTTTCATATATATACGATCTACTCATGAATATAAGCAAACAATCAAAAAAGTGTGTAAACTGATCGTGTGATGGATTGGTCATTATTTTTTCTATTGTTGTGGAGGGTATTGCTGAGCAGGGTACTGCTGAGGAGGGTATTGCTGATGAGTGTACTGCTGAGGGGTGTATTGCTGAGGATATTTCTCGAGATCAACACCGGCACCAACTGGGAGTGGACCTGTAGGACCAGTAGCGTCTTGTGTTGCTGAAGATATTGTAAGATACGCACCAATCCCGAAAACTGCACTTAACAGAGCTAATATAGCTCCTGCTGCAAATATTCCTGGCTTCACAACATAACATGTAATATAACCATATGAATCAATCTGCCCGCCTTGTCTATTATTTAGTCCTGCAGCTGTAAGCAATAGTATCACAGCTATAACTGAAGCTACCCTGGATGTTCAAAAATATGTTAGTTTTATTCGATAGCGTAAAGATAGTCATGATGATAATCAGAAAACAAGAATATCCATGTGGCCTACGTACGTACCATGACAATACAAAAAGAAGTTTTGAAATTGGGGTCGAATTAGGGTCGCTTCGACAACAACCAGATCCACCAAACGAAACACTTATGTAAATTCGTGTAATGATTGTGAACACTGCTGATATGATTCCAAGTGCAAGTGCTGGACTACTTGGATAAACACATGAATCAAGCACGATAAAGACTTCAGAAGCCTGCATTCGTGCATGCCCACAACACATATATCATTATAATGTCAAAATCATTTCGTTAGTTTAAATTAACAAATAACAAGCATATTGATTTTTTTAATTACCTTAACCCTAGTTGCTTCCCCTGCAAAACCGGTGGCTGCAGATATTATTCCGAGGACCGCTGCAATTGCGCAGTAAACTGCAACTTTGGTATCCATTAATGAGGTCTGTGTGAAACAGAGTGTTAATGAAGAAGCTTGTGGATGAATACAGCTTGTGAAGGAAAGCGTAAGTATATATAGATAGGTACACATTCAAGTGGATACTAAGAAACAAAATACGACGTTTACTTTCTTATGTCGACCCAACATGGTCAACCATTCTTTAATGGTAAATAAGTATATAAAATTTTGCATAACAAAGTTTGTCATTATTATTATTATTATTATTATTATTATTATTATTATTATTTTATGAATAAAGTGTCCTGTAATTGACGGTTAGAATGGTTCAATTATTAAGGTAAGGAATATGGTTTAACTCATTTCATTCTATATGAATCAAAATTCTTTTCATAAATTTTATAATTCTTTTTATATAATATATTAAACTTTATCCTTTTGTTTAAGATGCTTTGACGATACGCTCTTGAGGTATAAAATTTTGTACATCAAATATAAGTAAACACAAAATAAAGTGTCTTTTGAAATATCGTAACATACCAATTGCTTTGATTTTGGTAACTTAAAAGGAATGTATGACTATTTGGTTGACAATGACTTTGAAGAAAATATATCATCATTGTTTCATCGCTTTGATTTGGATTGTAAGTTGTAATCTTTTGTCTATCCCCTGAGTTTTTGGAAGATCTTTCAATTCAAAATTTGTAATTGGAGTTGTTGTAGGCTGTGGATTTACATTAGTAATCGGAGGGGATGATTGATTGGAGCATGGTCTTTTAGAGGATCATTGAAAACTTGAATCACTGAAGCATGGTCGTTTGAAGTATCCTCCAACGCTTGATTCAATGATTCTTGTTCTTCTAAAAAAAGATCCAATTTTACCATAACAATTCAATATCAACAATTAAGCAATCCAACAACTCAACAACTTAGCAATACAATCAATGAAACAAGTCTAACAACAAGTCAACAATTAATTTCAAGATAAACAACTACTAATTTTACCTAAACATTAGGAAATTTCAACAAAAAACAACTAATTTGAGTAATTTCATAAACCTAAAAATATAACTACTTGTTTCGTTGTAGTGTTTGAAGAAAGCCACTCAAAACCGATTTTCTTAGAAGCGGAAAATTGAAATACATTGGAGCTTGGTTTTAACTTGGAATCGATTGAAGCCTTCACATTGTTTTTTTTTTCATGTGTTGTGCGTCCTTCAACTTTTCACAACATGCAGTCATTTTTTTTTCATTTATGGCTTCCTACGATCGATTGATTCTTTCTTTCTGATGGGTCAAATGGGAATTGGGTTTAATGACTAACTTGGGTCTTCAGATAATATTTTATTTACATTTGCGCTATTCTTTTATGAGTTTGGGCTATTTAGTTTTCTTTTTAATAGTTTTAGGCTAGTATTTGTTGCACAATTTGTGTATTTTTTTGGACCATTAAAATAGTAGTAGCACTGATGTGCAGTTTATATAGTATCTAGTTTTAAACTTATAATCCTAACCTATTTAACTAACTAATTGTACTTAGACAGTCTACCTAGTCAAATTTATAGAATAGTTTAGGTAAGCTGAGTATCGAACACAGGGAACGGATTTAGCTAATAATATAATTACTAAAATTAATCTAAAAATAATAATTAAAGAAGGGGTTTTTATCTGATTTTGCAAGTTCAAATTAATTTAAAACTAAGCACTCAACTAGAAACGATTGTAAACAAGATTTAGAAGACACTTCTTTTTAGTTTCGAATACCTCTTTTTCTATGTGTAGTTTCTAAGTATGTATTTTTTCAGTTGATTACCATTTTAAATGTAATTATTAGCAATCTTGATCTGATCTCTTAATATTTTCACCCATTTATGAAATACTATGTAATGATCATACAAAAGCCAACACATAATTGATAATTAATGATAATTGGGCTATGTAAGATATATCTAGGTTAAACATAATTACGATCAAATTAACGTGCTTCAACAAAGTTAAAGTTGTTACCTTTATTACTTAATCTAAGATGTGATTAACCCTAACTCTAGCAATTTAATGATCATAAACTACTAGGTAAACAAGTTTATGCAATTCAAAAGATCATTAAACTATAGTTAACTTGAATCTAAGCAACAAAGATGCAAACTTTAACATGCTAGGTAATGATAATCAAACACATGCATTAACCAACTTCATAAAATCAAAATATATGCTAGAAACTAACACATAGTATTAGGGTTCATCTACACTAAACAAAAGCCTAATGATTAGCTATTCAAAGCAGAAAATAAGCACACAAAAACATAAGAATTCGACATAATTAAATCGATGCAAACCGAATGTGATGTGTGATCTTCAAATCTTCAATCTCCAAGTGTTCTCTCCTCCAAATGTTGTTTTTCATAGATCTCTGGCCTCTAAAATCGATTATCTCTCTAGAAAATCAGATCCAACCTCTTCAAAGTCGATATTCAAAGGGATATTTATAGTTTCCAAATATCACTTCTCACGTCGTGAGCTCAACATAAATCGTGTTCGGCAAGGAAACTGTATTCTGTGTAGTTATCTTATGGCAGAATTTGTACTCACGTCGTGAGAAGTAATTCTCATGTCTTGAGCTTCTATTTGACTCAATTTTCTCTTCTTTTAAGCTCCATTAAGCTCCCATCTCAACTCCAGTTTTTCTAGGTTTCAACTTTTGTCGGTTTTGGTCCATTTTCCTCATGAATGTCATATTTGGCTACATAATGTAATTTAACTCAATAAGTACCAAATATCTTCGCAAATAACAAAAATATAGCTTAAAATGTATTTAAATAATGCCTAAATATATGTATAAATATGACAATATCAAAATACCCCACACATGTCTTTTGCTTGCTCTCAAGCAAAACTGATTTTATTATCATATTAAGACTTTAGCTACCAACATCGCACAAGACAATCAATTTTGAGCCTCTCCATTATTCCAATACTGCAATGTATGTATTTGTGTCTAATTTTTACTAAGAACTTCCCCAATCCTAAATAATCACAATATTTATAAACATTTCCCTACTGTTTTTAAAAACCCTCATGTCCCAAAAAAACACCACTAGATGCTAAAAAAATTCAAACGTGATACAGAAACATGTCCCAAACGAGAATGCCAAAGATAAAACTTAGACGACAAAGGACTCAAACGGAAAGAAGATAAATCAATGTTGGAGGCAGCAACAACAGATACTTTGAGAACCTCCAAGACATATAGTTGCCCCACCCTACGGCCGATCCCAATCACCTTCTGGGTGTGTTGATCCTGTATAAAACAGACAAAATCAGAAAAGAACACCCAGTTACCAGACTTACATAACTGAATGACTGAGGCAAGATTCAAACTAAGTTTGGGAATGTAATAAACATCTGGGAGAGTGATATGAGAAATAGAGACAAACCCAACACCCTCAACTAGCATAGATGTATCACTAGCAGACTTAACAGAAATAGATGACACTTGAGACAAAGAAGTAAATGATGACAAATGAGTAGTCATATGATGGGTTACACCAGAATCTAAAATCCACAAAGATGAGGGAATACCTGATGTACCAGATGAAGTAGGACCAGAATGAGACATAGATGCAGACATGGCAGTGGGATTAGAGGCCAAATACTGTCAGAAACTCTCAAACACCTTGGGATCCAATGCAGATGGTGGCATGTTTCCAACAGAATCTATATCAACTTGTGGTATAGCAGCAGCAACAAACTATGGAGGATGAGGGGTCCATGGAGGAGTACCAGAGGAACGTGGCTGAAACTTCTGTTGACCAGACCTATTTTGTTGTCCCGGCTGAGGTTGACTAGATTTACCCTTGTTGACTAACAATGGACATTGAGCTTTCCAATGATTTTTCTGTTTGCAAAATGCACACTCATCATAAGCAACCCTTTAAGGTTGTCGATACTGATTAGAGGAAACTGCAAGCACAACAGGAGGGGGAGTAAGAATAGAGGTTGCTTTAAACCCTTTATCTGCATGAGACATGATACAAGTCTCTTCTGCAATTAACTCATGGACAACAGAATCAACTGAGGGAAGAGGGGAGCGATGGAGAATTGTTCCATGTAGACCTTCAAAATCAGAACGCAATGCCATCAAGAACTGGACCAAGCGTTGTTCTTCCCTCCTAGCAATGTAAGGCTCAAAGTCTTTTAACTCTTTAGATTCAGTAAGAGCCAATTGATCCCACATATCAGACATAGCAGCATAGAAATCTTGAATGCTCTAGTCATTTTGTTGAAGAGCACGAATATCATATTCCAACTGGTATTGTTTAGCAAAGTTAGACTGAGTATACAGTCTTTCCAAGTGATTCCAAACTTCCTTTGTTGTGTCATATTTAGCTAACTGCATACCAATAGACTGAGTGACAGAGTTATTAATCCAAGTAATTACCTTGGAGTTATCAGTCTCCCAAGCATCAAGTAACAAATAAAAATTCCCAGTTTGAGGTATTGAGGGTTTGGCTTTAGTCCCAGTGACATAGCCCCACATATTCTTCCCACGAAGGAAGTTTTTCATAACGTAACTCCAATACGTATAATTTTTTCCATCCAAACGAGTACCGATTGACTGAAGGGAATCATCATTTCCAGTCATGTTGACAATGAATAAATAACCACAATGACAATATAGCAATCTGAGAATGAGAGGAGTTACAAACCAACAGAAGCAATCAATCGGACAACAAGAAATCTAACAGCAACAACGAATCAACATCAACAGCAAACGAAATTCACCAACAAAAAACGCATCAACAACGAATACCAGCAACAACGAATCAACAACAACCAACAACGAATACCATCTGCTACAGTAACCCTAGAAAAATTCGATCTGCGCCACAGATAACTGCTAAAAAAGCTTTTAACAACGTATCAAACCTCCGCTCTGATACCATGATAACATTGTCATATGATTATAATAAAGAGAAATTACAAGAGTTCTCAATGAAAAGCATAAACACTACAAAGAATAAGGCGGATATAAATACTAGCTAGACAAAACCCTAATGGGATAAAGACTAAAGAACCCATAAACAAGTGGGCTAATAATATATATGATAACAGTCTAGTGATGCCACGTCGTGGTGTCTTCTCAGAGTGTAACTACAAGCCAAAATAATGCATTTTTTCTTCTTAATGGCTTAGGATCAATCCCGACGTCTTATTTCTGAAAAATTATTGAAAACTCATCTCTTCACCAGGTGGGAACCCCACACTTATTCAAAAACATGGTCTTCAATTGTAATCTTCCAAAATCGCACGACTTTTTCCAATTAAGCTCCTTCACTGCTTCACTTTCGTTTAACACTACAAAATAAGATCAAAAAGACTAGAAAAACACATCGTCATTCATTTAAACTAAATTAAAACTATAAAAAAAAACTAAAAAGAAAACCAAAAGGAAAAGAAAATGCAAACTCTAAAAAATCAGTTGCCTCCCGAGAAGCGCTTCTTTTTGAGGAGTCGTGAGCTGGACTCATTCCCACTCTACGTTGCGTCAGATAGAAGTGTAACCTCCCCGTTCTCCATCATCTTGAACGTTGCTCATTTGTAGGCAACCCGTCTTTTGAATGCCTTTCTCAAACTTTATGACATTTTTGGATTGACATCTTGATTAAGCTTCCTCTTGGGTTCTTTCTTCGTTCCCGTGTCTTTAGCTTTTGTCTTGTCTCTTTCCAGATTTTTCTTGACAAAATGAGACTCATCATTCCCTTCTTCTTTAGCTTCAATTATCTCTGTGACTTGATTTGGTGGTCTTGTAAAAGAAAACACCTCGAAAATCATTGGTGTTGACATTGGAGGTTTCAAATGATTCACTTCTTCTTTTAATTTCTCTTTAGGTTCTTTATGCTCCATGAACTTTGCGTTTCCTTGCTTCACCAGATTTTCCTTGGTACGCGATGGGTAAGGAAGATGTGGTCGATACGGCTTAACTACTAAAAAATCATAATCTTCTTTTATCGCCTACAACGTGGCACTGTTGCCTCCATGTCGTGGGGACTAGACAAAATCACAAATCTTTTCTTCTTTTTCTTTTCCTTCAGGCGACTATTTGGACTACTGATCCATTGAATCAATGACCCCCATATGCTTCAATTCCTCCTCTTTTTCTGTATAAACAACCATGACTTGAGAGATTGGGATTGGGTCAGTTTTTCTTGAAGGTGAATCTGGTAGATTTTCTTGCACAAGCTTTGTTAATTTCCCAACTTGCATGTAGATGCTCATGATAGACTCTTGTTGATCTCTAAGTGTTGCATCAGTAGCATCATGTCTTCTTCCGCAAGCTTTCATAAATCTAAATAGCATTGAGGTGAGAGCATTTATTTTTTCGGATTTGACTTGTTCTATTTGGTAGAGGTCATGCTTTAGTTGTTGAGTTTCTTTTGTATCTCGATCTCTCTGGAATTCCAATTCATAATCCCTTGTAGAATAGGGCCCCCCACAAGCTCTGCATCTATCTTGAATTGATCTGCACAATTTTGTGATATTTTCCTCCATTGCGTCGAGCTTTGCAATTACTGAATTGATAGCATCTTGACTTCCATCTTTATTTGATTTTTCTTTAGTGATATCTTCCTTTGGGTTATGATACTCTCTTGAATGCTTAGCGAATTCTTCAATCAAAGCTTTATTTGTTGCCAGATCCTTCCTTTTCATGGGCCTTTGTGAATCTAGAAGTTGGCGAGTACATAAATTGACTCCATCATAAAATATCAAGATTTTTTGTTGCACATTAAAGTCATGTTGAGATCAATGTCATAACAATCTCTTGTAATGTTCTCAAGCTTCTTATAGCAACTCCAGCTCTAATTGTTGAAAATTCAGTATGTTTCTTTTTAGCTTCGCCACTTTCGAAGGAGGGGTTAACTGGTTTATGAACTCAGTCCTAAAATCAGCCCAAGTCGTGCTTTCACCAAACAGAAGTGATTTTAACTATTCCTTAGCTTCACCCTTCAATGTAACTGGAAAAAATCGAAACATCACCGCATCTTTATTTACGTTTGGTGCATTAGGATAATTTGAAATCTCCACCACCTCGAACTTTGTACTGATTGGATTTTTTTGTGGATCAAGACCCCATCTGTTTTTGTTCCTTATATGTCGCTTGTACTTGTCCATTGACATGGTCGTGATGTGCCCCATAATTCATGCTAAAACAAAACCATAAAAATACGCGTAAAAGCGAACTAGAAAGAAAATAAATAAGAAACTCTAAAACATTGAACTCACGTCGTGAGGTATATCCCTCACGTCGTGAGAACTGGAGAAACAAAAAAATAATTTTTTGCAGAAAATCAACTTTTTGCGGTTTTTACCAAACAAAAAATGATCGATTAACCTAAAACAATTAAATTAACAACTAAAATAGTCGTTCTCCGGCAACGGCGCAAAAAACTTGATGCACAATTTATATACTACCTAGTTTTAAATGCATAATCTCAACCTACTTAACTAACTAAATGCACTTAGGCAATATACCTAGTAAAATTTATAGAATAGTTTAGGTAAGTTGGGTATCGAACACATAGAACGGATTTAACTAATAATATAATTACTAAAATTAATCTAAAAACAATACCTAAAGAAGGGGTTTTTATCTGATTTTACAAGTTCATATTAACTTAAAACTAAGCACTCAACTAGACACGATTGTAAACAAGATTTAGAAGACACTTCCGTTTAGTTTTGAATCCCCAATTTTCCTATGTGTTGTTTCAAAGTATGGATTTATTTAGTTGGTTATCAATTTAAACGTAATTAGCAGTCTTGATCCGATATCCTAATAATTTCACTAATTTATGAAATACTATGTAATGATCATACATAAGCAAACAAAAAATTGATTACTAATGATAATTGGGCTATGTAAGATATATCTAAGTTAAACATAATTACGATTAAATTAATGTTCTCCAACACAGTTAAAGTTGGTACCTTTATTACTTAATCTAAGATGGGGATATCTACAGTAAAGTCCCAAAAAAATTTTTTTGAATAAAAAAGCCTAGTAAACCGGGAAATTTATTCAGTTTAGTCCATTTTTACCTATTAAGCCGGTCATCAGCCTATATGGCATGCCAAGTTGGACATTTTTTTTGATGTGGTAGCTGACATGGCCATGTCACGTCAACATAAGCCTCTTTACTAAAAAAAATTGAAGTTTTAAAGGAAATGGAGGGCATAGGACTCGAACGTGGGTCTCCTTCCTCTTATTCCTCCACCTTAGCCAATTTCACTACATACATTTCATGTCTTTTCCTCTCCACTCAAATCTTTTATGCCTTGATTCGTAAATAAATATAATAATTTGTAAATATTTTAATAATTCGTAAATAAATATATTTAATCTATTAAAAACGTAAATAAATATAATAATTCGTAAATAAATATATTTAATATATATATATATATATATATATATATATATATATATATATATATATATATATATAGATATATATATACGTATTTTTTTAAAATATTTTAAGTATTTTTTTTCATCTATTTTACGTATTTTTAATATATTTAAGTATTTTAATAATCTTTTAAGTATTATTTATATATTTTTAAGTATTTTAAGTATTGTTACGTATAAATATATATAAAAATACATAAAATTACATACAAATACGTAAAAAATACATATAAATATATTAATTTTTTTTAAATATATTAAAAATACGTAAACAACACATATATATTTAAAAATACTTAGGCCCCATTTGATACGCATATTTCCAGGTCCAAACAGATCTTTCTGGCTGAATGGACCGGAAAGACTGTTTGATTTGCTTAAAAAAATGGTCTTTTCCGGTAAGATATGTCTTTCCCAGAAAGCCCCAAAATTATATCTTTCTGGCTGAATGGGCTGGAAAGACAATTCTGCACCAAACCCCACCTATTTCTTTCTTTCTTGGATTATTAATTTTTTTAAATTTATTTTTTATTTAATTATTACTTTTTTTCATCATTCAGCACAGTCAATCTGATGTACTATCAAACAACATGATTTCTTTCCCAATCAGAAAACTGTCCCAGACAGCACTTTACCACACAATACTTTTCTAGACAGAAACTATCAAACGGGACATTAAAATACATGAAAAAATACTTATAATGCATAAAAAATACTTAAATATACTTAGAATACATAAAAAAATACTTAAATATTTTAAAAATACATAAAAAAATACATATATTTTTTAAATATATTTATTTACGAATTATT